AAAGGTATTATCACAATGGCTTTGAGTCATGAAAGCAAGGTAAATCTTGATCTTAGAACTTATTGTTTGGCTGATTTCCTACTCTTAGCTTCTGGATATTATTCTGATATCACTCTCTGTGTTTTATTTCTGACTGTAGCATATACTCAGTGTATATGCACACAATTATGATGTCACACATTTAAAGAAGAAATGTGAAATCCCAGGTAAAATGATAGGTGATGGTAGGAAGGAGAGTCTTGCCCTGCCCATCTTATTCTTCTTCTTTTTTTTGGTCTTTTTTGAAGCGGGTCTCCCTGTAGCCTCAGCTGTCCTGGAACTCACTATGTAGACCAGGCTGGCCTTGAACTCATGGAGATCTGCCTGCCTCTGCCTCCCAAGTGCTGGGACTACAGGCATGCGCCACCATGCCTGGCTTATTCTCCTTTATCACTGGCTTTTCAGGATCTTGCTGGCTGAGGATTGTGAGAGGTGGAAGCTTTGAATCAAGTCTAAGAATACGGTAGAGTCAGGAGATCACAAGTAAATATTTTATTCCAAATTCCTGCCTGACTCCAAACTAGGACAGAACACAGTTACAGGTCAGAGATGAAAGAAAGATAGGAAAGATATGAGCTGCTTGAGTGAAGTGTGGTTCCTGGGAATTGTGGACAGTTGGCCACCTAATGCTTGGAAGGACAAAGGCCAAATGCAGGGCTGCTTATGCTAGGACAGTGATAAATGAGTGTCCTAGCTGTGGGTTTGTGTGCATGTGCATGTGAGTGCCTGTGTGTGTGCGTGTGTGTGGGAAAAAACTCTCAATTGTCTTTTTCTGTCATCCTGAAAGAAAACTATTTGCCTAAAAGTATCTGAACATGGTGCTTTCTTCTGGGCATAAATGATTTGTGATTCTTTTCCCACCTGTATTCAAAGCAGCGCCTGAATATCTTGTAGGCATTTTGGAAACCAAAGGGACATAAAGTTATTTGACAATGATTGCTTCTTTGAAATTCATACATATCATTATATAGTGAAGCAAAACCTTAAAATCCATTCAGAGAACTTTTTCATGAAATGTGAGTTAAGTAAAATCAAAATATTTATTAAATAGAATATTTTAATATGAGTAATAGCTCACAAGTTATTGCCACAATCTAATTTGTGCAAGATTATTTAAAAATCCATGTTCAACTTATAATTTTGATACAATAAATATAAACCACTTTTAAGACTTAGATGTCTTCACTCTTTCTAAACATTTGTTTCAGTACAGATTATTAGCAAGGCCTTGACACAGGTGGAGATTTTTATTTCTTTTCAATGCTTCCATAAAATTAGAATGTATTGTTGTTTGGGAACAATTCTCTGATCAGAGTGTCATCACGTTATGTTTTAAATTTTTAAGAATGACTGATTTATCATTTATTATCCTTCCTCCATTTGCTTACTTTCATGTTAATTCTACCTTTTGTGTGTGTGTGTGTGTGTGTGTGTGTGTGTGTGTGTGTGTGTGTGTGAATCTAAATGATTGTTCCACAAAATAGATGTTGAATGTTATCAGCCTTTGGAAATTTAAATATTATACTTCATCCTTCTAAACTTTTCAGAACTGTTTTGTATTTACAGTAATTTGAGTTATTTTCTATTCAGACCACATTGTTTTTTTCATATTTTGATCAGGAAATAGTCTTGGTTTTATATTCCCTTTGGAATTGGAATTAGAAAATTTATAAAGCTGTACCAGTCACAAACAGCACTCTGAATGGCAGCCTTTTTCTTAGGTCAGAATTCTTATCAACAGAATTAAGAAAGGTTAAATTATTTTTAATCTAAAAAGAATTCTGTTGTCATACATATCTAGGTTAAATATCATAGTTGGTATCTAAATAAGACAGGTAGCTGATGGAATATCAGTGCTACTGTTTTATCATGTGCTAACAGTATAGATTAACACACTTAAGGCCATTTGCATAACTGTCTTTCCTCTTTATCCTATGTCCTTAAATAGAACTTCCCAACTTCCCTCTCTTCAATATCTAATACATATACTCTTATTTTGTTAACGTTGCTCTGGAACATCTCTGAAATTATACCAGCATTAGGAGGTCCTAGATCAGAAATACTAGAAACCTACTGTAGAATGCGGGTGCTTATGAAACTGTAGTTAGTAGGCATCTGTAGTGTTCTACAGTCTCAGAAGAATCTGGCTGAGCACCACTTGGCTCTAGTCAGCAGTTCAGACTTCAAAGAGTTTCAGCCCTCCAAGCATGCTCTACTCTGACACCAAGCCTTTCATTATTGGCCTGTACGAAATCTATCTAATTCCAGTTATTAACAGACTTCTCAGTCTATTCCTGAGTCAAAAAGACAAAAATCAGAGAAGTGCTTGTATTTATGGCTGAAATATCTGATGACCTAAAATAAAGGATGAAGACTCAGATGATAAAATTGTGCATATGTGTAGAGTATCTCAGTCAATTAAATAATTGCTAAGTTATATAGCACCTGCTGGAAAACAATTGAAATACATATGTGTGAGTTATCACTATTCTTAAAAATATCAGCACAAGGCAAGCATCTTTTAAAGAAATGAAGTCATTAACACTTTTCTTGGTGTCACGTATCGGGGAGACCTGGATAGGATGCAGAATGGGCAGGGGTAGGTGTACTGGTGATAAAATTGCACGAGCTAGTTTTTAGTATAATGAGTAAATTATAAAAATGAAGGCATGTTGATGCTGAATAGAATGGATCTGTGCAGATTTGTTTAAATTTCTTGTTTCAATGGACTGATTTTTTAAAAATAAAATACTTCTTATTCCTGCCACACAGTCTCCTGATAGTCTGCCTTTGTTTGGACCACTCCTTTTTCTCAGTTGTTGAAATATTATGGAATATTATATTATTCTGTTTTATTATCATATAACTTATTTATAATTAAAATAAAACAAATAGTATATAATTATTAATAATTATAAAAGTAACATAACTACATTATATTAAATTATACTGTTCTATTTTAATAACTTACTCTAAAGCCTTTAGGGATGAATCACAGGTACAAATAACAAATACATTAAAAGGAAGACAAATTTTAGCGTTGGCATATTTGTATGATAATTAGCGAAAAATGATCTAGAGAGAAATATTACATAAAAAAATTTCCAAATTGAGAATTTTAAGATAAATTGTCTACACTGACATACAGTACTTAAAATAGCCAAACCAAATTTTGGTCATTAATTATAGACTTCAGAATATCACCTTGTGTTTATACAAGCACCTGTTCCTTCCTAGCAGGGAAGACAGTGGCATTGGATTGTTTCTATTTCTTCTTGTTTATGTTATATGAGCTGATTGCCAATACACAACTGGGCCATGGTGAGGATATTGGTTTCATCCATACATTATTAATGTGGGAGTACATTGAAAATAGAGGTGGCTTGAAAAATATCTTCAAACAGATGTTTTTCGTACTGGCTTGAAAATACCTGATTTTTTACAGTATTGGTTGCTAAAGCCACTATTTTGTTTTTTCCACAACCAGGTTTTTCCACAAAACAATTGGTCAGGAACCATTTCTCCCTCTTCCTCATCCCTGACAGTCACTTTTCTTCTTTTTCTTCTACGTTTGTTTTAAACAGCCCATAAGGTAGAAGAGAAAAAAAATGGTCTCTATTATTTCACTGGATTTTCTTCTGCACAAATAAATTCCAGAGTAATACCAACTACAATGGAAACTCTGAAATGAATTAATTAAGCTTTGAGAACTCTCTGTAGCTACTGCTGCAATAATCTACCACCACTGATTGGAAACTCATCATCTGTATCACCTGAATAAACATGTTCCTAAACCATTTCTCAGAATTTCCAGGCTTTTTGACTAAACAGAAATTGTATTTCTTGTGACTCTGAAAATAAGATTTTTGTCTTCAAAAATGACTATTTCATTGGACAGACTAGTGTCATAGCTTCATTTTTCTTTATTAAATTCACTGAGAAAGCATTCTAAAATATATTGGATTCTTCAAAGCCCAATTTGAGAGCTGGAATAGACCTCTCCCCACTAAATATTTCTGTATGCATCTAGCTATCCAGCTACTATTTTGACACTGTTACTTATAAGTTCAATCTACATATTTTCTTGTACGATTATTATGTGTAATATATGTTAACTGAAAGGAACGGGGACAAAGATAAGTTAATGCTCAAGTTTTGCTGATATATTCTTTTCATTCATAGTCAGAACATAAGCAGTATTTTGAATTTGCTTTAGCATGATTATACTGAAACTGGACACTACTATTTAATGACTATTGCAAAGCTATATTTGTCAAATATAAATTTCTAAAATTCTATTTTGTCTAAAGAAAGCTCAATATAGCATAATTCTGGCAATGTTTTGAAATTCACAACTAGAAGAATAAACAGTAATAAAGCTGTTTATTATTATTAGGGGTTCAAAAGCCATGAAGAAAGAGCATCTGCTTTTCAGTGAGTAACACAGTGTTGTCTGGTAGTGTCTGCACTCTTCTACTTTATATCCATTCCTGGAAAAACAAATTATGCATTTTGCTTTTTGAGAAATCCAAATTTTGGTCATCCTTTTTCAGCCTAACAAACTACAGTGGATTTGCACATTTATTCATCTTTGAGGAAAGAGAGATCTGGCCTGTAGTCAGTTAAGATGCAGTGATATATGTCAAGCACTAGCTCATGCACACTCAGTTGTACAGTTTGTGCTAACAGCCATTGTTGCGCCAGGCATTTCTCCAAAGCTCAGGAGTTAGGGAATGGTAATTATAGCAAGTTGTTTATTATAAATAATGTATGCAAGTTATGCATGAGCTACGTGGATTTCAGCCCATTTGCTAGAACATACTTGCATAATGATTTGTTTGGATTTTGCTGCACATAATTGATATTGCAGAATGTTGGCAATAATGTCGATTACTGTTGAGCTGCCTTGAAATTTTCAGCGCAAGTAGTGATTTCTTCTCTTTTTCTGTGTGCTTGTCTAGTCTCGGCAGACACCTGAGGGTGAGTTTCTTCCCCTTGACCAACTTGAACTGGATGTAGGTTTTAGTACAGGGGCAGATCAACTTTTTCTTGTGTCCCCTCTCACAATTTGCCACGTGATCGATGCCAAAAGCCCCTTTTATGACCTATCCCAGCGAAGCATGCAAACTGAACAATTCGAGATTGTCGTCATCCTAGAAGGCATTGTGGAAACCACTGGTGAGTAAAACCATAGCTGTGTCATCAAACTTCTCATTCTGAATCATGTATTATGGGCCAATCCTGCATGAACTGGCCATGTGTTTCGGTTCACAATCATTAAAGTAAGTACAAATTACTTAACGTCTTTGTAGCACAAAAATGATGCTACTTTGTAAATTGGGATTTACTGTTTGAATGGTTACCTACCTTATATTGGCACAGGAATCCTGACTGAAAATTAACTGAGATGATGTCTTCGAAAAGATTATGCTGTTCTATTTTTATAACAGTTAAGATTTCCTATAATTATGATTTTTTTCTTTAAAATTTAAAGTTGAAAAACTCTTCAGGGTAATTAGCCAGTAGCCTGAATTCGATAAGCATATTCTTGATTGGGGGATGGTGACATGGAGTGGAATTGATAAAGCTTTGATATCTACTCATGGTACCTCATTGAAAACATTTCCTGTGTTTTGTTTTTTTTTTTTTTTTGTATGCGTGGGCACACATGAGCAATGTTTTTATTTGAAAGCAGATCAGAAATTTACCCCAGTTTGAACTTTGATTACAGCTTTCTTTTAAAAGCTGAGCTTTTGTCTTTTTGTTTTTTCCTATCTCAGTTTAGCTGTATGCTACATGTTAGTCCTAAAGAGTCATATGACATTGCAGTGCTCTAAATATAATTTGCTACTCTCTGAGGGGAGTTCAGTATGCAAAGAAAATATAAAATAAATATATTACCCAGTCTCCAGATTTTTCCCAGTTAAGCCTGGAGTCCTATGAATTCTTGAGAGTAATGGTATATTGCTATCTACAAAATCATACATGTACATAAGTGTATGTGTATATGTACATTTTGAGCTTTGCATTTTCTACAGGTGATAAAGAAGGAAGTAATGTTTTAGCTACTGATTTTTTCCATTGCATCTTAATACTGAGATGTTAATCATTAAATATGAAATATAGCAATACTAGAATTGACAAAGTCAGAAATATAAATTAACATTTTATCCCAAGTTGTAAGGCCTTTCCTTATATACTACTGACTTCTGTCAAAGGAGCAGGCAGGGCACTGTCATTTTTTTAATCTATCACATAATGTGTGTTTGAAAGTTAGGCAAAGTATTTATGGTATTTATTGTCTATGACCGACCACCTTAGGGCTGCTTTTTACTATTACTTTTGTTGTTGGTACTTAGCTTAAATTTTAGATTTAAAAAATAGTAACAACATATCTAGAGCTCCTGGCTTTATGAAGATCAGCTCTTTCTCACCTAGCAGTAATCAGTTGCCAATATTTCTTCAGCTTAAGCCTACTGTCCATTTCCTCAGTTCGATGCTGAGTTTTTGTCTGCTTGAGTTTGCATGAGTCTTGTGCATGCTGACACCATTGCTGCAGATTCGTATGAGCAGGGTCCCAGGAGCTTATAGAACTCTATTTCCATGTAGTCATGCACCCCCTCCCTGGCTCTTATAATCTTTCTGCTCCATCTTCTGCAATGCTCCCTGAGCCATGGGTGGGTGAGGGACTCTAGGTAAATTGACTAGACCTCAGTAGGTGACCTTGCACTGAGGAACATCTGGGGACACTAACTTGACACAATGGGCCTTAACACAAATGAGAGAATGTATGAATTCCAGTGGGGGGGTATGGGAGGGTGCCAGTGGGGGATGGGGTAAGACGATTAAGAGTGATTGAGATGTTCTGTATGGAATACACAAAAATTCAATAAAAACAATTAAAAAACCCCAAAACCCCCTTTTTTTAAAAAGTGACAAGTATTTATTAAATCAAATTGTTTGAAATTTCGCTTCTGTGCCCCTTTTTATGATTTAGACTCCATATTCAGCTTAATCTTCAAACTGAAATATTGTCAATATTTTCAACGAAATTAATTAATTATTTTTATTTTCTTATTAAAATTTTTTGAGATCAGATCTCACTATATAACCTTGGCCTTTGTGAAACTCAATATGTAGACCAGGCTGGCCTCTAACTCAAAGAAATCCACTTGCCTCTGCCTCCCAAATGCTGGGATTAAAAGCATGTGCTACTGTGCCTGACTTTAATTTACATGCCAATTTTATATAAATCATTTATCAAAATAATAATAATTTTTCTTCTTTTTTCCTGAATACAGTTTAATGAACTGTATTATTTTTCTAACCACTCACTCAAGTGAAAATTTGTTTTTCTTTTATTAGGTCTATTTATTTATGTAGCTAGCTATCCATTTTTCCTAAATATGCATTTTTTGGCAGTGAAAGCATTTCCTTATAATACCAGATTAAAGATGAAATACTTTCTTATTCCTATTTTGTGTTTTTGTAAAGATTTAAAATTTTTTTTAAATTATAAGGATATGTGTGTGTTTGTGAGTGTATGCTGTGTATGTGTTTGCACACATATGTGTGCATGTGTCTTCTCCTAAGAACCAGAATAATGTGTCAGATCCCTGGGAACTGGAATTACAGGCAGTTGTGAGCCTTCAAACTTCTGTGCTGGGAGCCAAACTTGGGTCCTCTCTAGAAACAGTTCATGTTTTAAACCCCTTAGCCATCTCTCCAGCTCTCTCTCTCTCTCTCTCTCTCTCTCTCTCTCTCTCTCTCTCTCTCTCCCCCTCTCCTCTCTCCTCCTCTCTCTCTCTCTCTCTCTCTCTGGTTTCTTGACCTTAATAAGTTTGAAGAATACAGACCAGGTACTCAGTAGTTTACTTGCATTTGAACCTGATGTGTTTTCTTATTCTTTAACTCTTTTGGAGATGCATGCATACTTGTGTATGTACATAATGATATTTTTGTCATTTCTACATGAGTATCTTAAGGCAAGATTAAAACAGTTTGCTTGGTAATTTTTACTGCATTCCAGAGAGCCATGATTAGTAAATAGTGCCCTACATAAGGTCAGATGGAATTCTGTAGCGTGAATTATTCATTACTATTATTGATTTTATTGTAACAATATTTCTTCACATTTGCATTTGTTATTAGTTAACTGGCACTGAATATTTTCCACAAGTAACGTGAAACTTGTCTGATGACAGCATTTTTATTTAGAGATTTCTTTGTTATGGAGAAGAGTGTAAAATATGTTTATCTTTTTGTCTCTTAATTAAGCAAAATACAAAGGACAATCATTGCTTATAACGTATCGATTTTATTTTATGGAAAGTTTATCTGACATTTTGTTTGTGTACATGACCTAGCTAATTAAATTGCACACTTTATAAAAACCTGCTTTCAGCTTGGGGCTTCAGCTCAATAAAAACAACACACTTTATATTAATTTGATTATTTTAATTTTTTTGAACTATGCTAAGATTCATTCATGTTTATGATTTTCTTTTCCTCTTTTATGCCTTCATCTCCAGTAAAGTTTTCTTTCTCATAATATTTATTGTTTTAAATGCTACACATAGGGTCACTTGAAATTGTATGAAGCAAGCATAATATATTCACTTCTCAAGTGTTTTTATACAAAGCCTTGTGAATAAACTGTTATAACTTTTCAACACATTTGGAATTAAAGAATCAGGATTATTTTTCATTCATTCCTTTACTAGATAATATTTATTACTCAGCATAAATAATGTATTGTGTACTTGGAGGCATTTGAGTTATTAGAGCTGTAATGGTGACTTAGACATGATTCCTTTCTTCTGGGGGTTATATTTTAAACTGAAAGCACGAACTAGAAAACATAAATGAATAAACAGAACTCTACCGTGTATCAGGTATTCAGTAAAATGATAAAAAATAAATCAGGAAGTGGGGGTGCTAATGGCTGGACAGATAGACACTGAAGAACAGCTGCTGGAAATGTCTGAGTGGGGAACAAGCTTGATTTATTCTGGAAACCAATAGAAAACAGAGGTGGTTGGAACAGAGCTAACAGAGTAGAATGTGAGGTGAGAACACAGAGATGAGGAGGCCACCTCTCACTGCTTGAGGACACCAGGATACCAGCGAGAGGGATTACAGCTTCTTTATAAAGCAGAATAATAATTTAGCAATCTCATGAAGTTTATTTAGAAGTTATTAACTCTAATGCATTGGGAGTGTGCACGGGTCTAGACAGTGGCCACTTGCATATATTCTTGCTTCTGCCCTTGTAGCCACTTACCCTTATATAACTGGTCACTTCAAGGCAGTCTTTGCTTCTTCCTACTCCTGTGGTCTCAGTAAGCATAGTGAGGGCCAAGAGATGAGAAATTAGAGGCTTTATAATTTCCATGAAAACTTCAGCTTTCAGCATAGGATGCCCATATCACTCCTTCCCCCCTTTCCTTGGAAATACTCAGAGAACCGGCTCAGGATCATTATCCTCCTTGATTCAAATGAGTCAGGCTTTGATGCCACCATTTGCCTGGTATTCATTAATAACATTTGCATCCTTGCTCATGCAGAAACTTTCTGAGGTAGGCTGTACCTCTGACTCTTCCTCTCTTTGCTGCTTCTCCCAGGAGAGAGAGCACTGCTGGAGGCAAATAAAGCACTGCAGATTTGGCTCATTAGAACTGGATGCTTTCAAACTTCAATCTGGTTTCTGCTGCTATTTGGCAGTCTTTTTAATTGTCTTTTCTGTACTCTCAGGCTCATTCCCTGTGGGATTTATTTTAGACCTTTTCTCTCTCTCCATGCCCCCAAACCCAGCTGTCCCATCCCTTTCTTGGCATGTCATCTCTCCACCTATTCTATTAAAAACGATGTGATACTTTTGTAGGTCATTCTCACCATCTTCTCATAACTTTATTGCTTCTCTTTTCTGGTATTTGTTGGGAAGACTATCTTTTTTCTTATTCTTTTCCCCAAAGTACCTTTTTTTTTCTTTTACAGGTAGTTAGATCTTCTTCTTCTTCTTCTTCTTCTTCTTCTTCTTCTTCCTCCTCCTCCTCCTCCTCCTCCTCCTCTTCCTCCTCCTCTTCTTCCTTCTCCTCCTCTTCCTCTTCCTTCTGCTCCTCTTCCCCTCCCTTTCCCCTCCTTCTCCTTCTTCTCCTCCTCTTTGTCATCCTCTTCTT